GAGTCATATTTATGATACTGTGAGTCATCCCGCTCATCCCGGGTACCTCACTATGGGTCTGGGTAACCATTACAAGTTCTATTAGAAACCAAGAAAGGCACAAGCGACAGTATATATTTATGAGTTATTAAAGGGAAATTCAAAAGAGACTAATGGGAGCATTATGGAACATCCCGCTGGCACACGCCACATCTCCTTTACCGCCTTGAAAATCAAACCCATCTCACTCTCCGGTCTGTGATAATTAAATCTTCTCGTGCGCACATAATGCACGAGGTTAGAGCAATGCGGAAAACGGCCTTCAAAGATGGCCCTTCCTCCTCGGTGAGGAGCGGTCTCGCGCTAACTATTTGGCATCCTCAGTGGCTATCCAGCGGCCCTGCTCGCTTAACTGCAGAGGAGCAGAGCGGTGCACCCCAGGTGAGAGACAGCCCGTCTTTGGCGCAGCCTGGCAGCGTCTTCATCAGACGCAGGAACGGGAAAGAGGAAGCAGAGATATCCGTCCTCTGTCATAACCGTTACCTGTCTTGACTGCTTAACTGCAGCCGAAATCCAGATGCAGATTTCTGTTACGTCGACGGGCTAGACCAGCTCCCTGAACGGCGACTGTGGCGCCCCTTTTCAAACGGGTGCCGAGGTGAGCCTGAAAGGTAGCCGTAGGAAGGCCTATCCGACTACCTAGTTAAAGGACCGCCCTTTGGCTTGCCGTGCAAAATACAGACCCCCTCCAAGCATCACATTTCCAGAAGACGTTAACGGATGCCTATTGGGCATTTATACATGTGCTCGGGGTGGGGGAGAGGGCACTTTAATTTGAGTGGCTCCGAGGGCACCTGTACACATGCGCTGAGGCTGCTCCAATGTGCTGCAATGACAACACTCGGTGCCTGTTCCCACAAAAGTAAGGCCTGCAAAGTAGGGACTCCTTCGTCCAAGACTGCACAGCGAGTCAAGGTACAAGAACAGCACCCCAGCAGGGTCAGTAGACCACCAACATCCCCTCCGCCAGCTCCAAAAGCGGCGCTCCCGTGTGGGCTGGAGATAGGAATGGGCTAATGCAAGAGACTCTCTCTGAGAGCCTCTTTCTTAGAGAGAGGCACAAGCGACACTGATGGGAGACAGCCGTGACCGCGAAGGAGAGGATGGTGTGGAAAGCAGCAAAGGCTGCCGAAAGCCTGGAAGGTGCCACGAGAAACGATGGAGGGGAGGGAAAAGCCTGGCCAGGTCGCAGACAGCCGACCCCCAAGAGGACAAGTCTGCTCTGTCCACGCGCAGGCGGCGTACGTTCGAAAAGGCTCTCACCTCTCAACTCTCCCAAGTCCAGCGTTTTCCCTAGCTGTTCGAGTAAGTCAGCCCGGGCTGCGTTCTTTTTGTGCTTCTTGCCATCGTAATGCTGCTGGGCCATCACGGGGTTGTTGAACCAGGCGGCGCAGAGCTGGCAGTATCTGTCCGAGTCTCTTCTCTGATGAGGCGAAGGGATGACGGGAGAGCTGTCCACGTGCGGCTGCTTGAGCGAACTCAGCGTGGTTTCTGCAAAAGGAAACAATCAGAAGTGATGCTCTTCCAAGGTAACCGCTAATGTTAGGACAAGGCCAGACCTCAAGGAGAGACGCCAGGAGGTACTGGCAGCAGTTACAGCTTCTCGTTACTAAGATTACCGCTCCGCACATTTAGAACGATGCCGCTTAGAAATCTACCGTCTGCCTTAAAAACCAAGTGCAAGCGTGCTTAGGCAGCAAGATGCCACTGCTCGGTTATCTGCCTCGCACCAGCTTGGACGGAAAAGCCAGGTCTCATTGTGGCACCGTGGTTTATCATTGCTATGGACCACTGCCCGGTCAAGCTCTCTTTTTGCAAACAGTTTCTTGCATAAAAATTTGCTGGTGACGAACAACCAAAAAACATATATCAAAGCAGAAAGATCCTGCGCATTTAAAGCCAACCCTCTCTCCAAGTAGGGAGATGGTTACAGGTTTATAATCATCTCATCATTTTTTGCCTCAGTGTGTTTGGACATGAGAAACAAAAAAAACCCAACCCAGAGAAAGCTGGAAGAAATTTAAAACATCATTTTTATGTTTTAAAGGTAACAACAAAGGTAACCAGGAGCCATCCCCCTCTCTAAATGTCTTAATGCAGTGCTGACTACTAGGTGCCTCTTCTTGCTCCCAAAGGGTCACCGTGTCACCACCGGTTTACTCTTGCAAATGCAATCCTGATCCAAACGTTTCAAAAGAAAAATGGACTATTAGTCATCACAGACTAGGGCCTCAGCTTCTGATTGCCACAGCCTCTCCAGCGTATATTCTAGCTGGCACAGCCACAAGAGATTGTTTACAGTGGCAAAGAGGAAAATTGCAATAATATTGGGATACTGAAGCACACCATTATTGGCACTTCATTAGCGTACCTTGCTCATAAATTCCTTTTCATGTTGGGTTTTTTTTTTTTAAATTTGTTTAACGTCACCTTTTTAGATAAAATGTCTGCCGTCTAAATGATTAGCAAGCCGTGCTCTCAGGAAAGGAGCTTCTTGGTGTAAGAATAGGAAAATGTGCAGCCTCTTGAAATCAGTTTGAGAGCGCTCCTGATCAAAAGGCTTAGCCGAGCCCTAATGAGATCACGTGCGCCGATGATGACATAATGTCATTGCTTCACTCTGCCAAGTGGGGCTGTAAGCAAAATAATGATAGATGTAGACGTATAATTATGACCTGAACCCCTTGTGCTCTTCCCCATGCTTCGGGAGTGTTAATATATGTTACAAATCTTCAGTAGCCCTGCCTGCGAAAGATCTCTATTAGCTGTCCTCCAGGACACTGTATCTCGCTTCTAAGGTTACCTACAACCAGGCTCGATTTCCAGGGTTTTCTAATGCCTATTGTTTTTGATGACAATGGCAAAGAGATCACATTTTCGTTGCCCGAATTATTGTTGGCTCCGACACACCATTCTTCTGCTTCCAAACCCTGGGTCTGGGAGCAGCCTAGAGAAGAGATTTCTAGGCTGATACTCCAGATGCACCGGCAAGAACAAGACCCTCCAGAGGATTCACAAAATGAGCTCTCTCGGCCAAGAGTTAACAAAAGGACCGCAGATTTGACCCGAACATCGGGGACGCTGCAAGGGCACAGGACGTGGCATAGCTGAGGTCCGCCATGACCACAGCTGCCAGATGTGGCCCTTTTCCCCTCGCTCACAAATAAAGAGAGCCGTTCTGCGGCGGACCCCGCTGCAAGCCCAGTGTGAAAAAGGAGCTTCGGGGCACAACTGTTGAGCACTCCCACCTCTGCGAACTGCCTCTTCTAGCTAGCTGGAGGTCTAATTTCTAGTGTTTTGCCCACGTTTTTCTACTTAGAGTAACCGCAAGACCAAAAAACCTCTCAGTGCCTCTCCCAATCCACTTGCCTCCATTCGCTTTGCCTGGCCCCAAGCTCGCAGTCAGTATATGACACCGGTTTGTACCAGACCACATACACAGCAATTTGTTCTGTACATTTATTCCCAACACTTTATTCAATACTGAAATCATTCCAGCTCCAGTTTCACATACTCTGGTGTTTTCTGCCATGGAAATATAATAACTAACTCTTTCCTTTCTGCCTCTCACAAAAGGTTTTCATTAAGCAAAGAATAACCAAACCTGTTCTTTGAAAGAACCCACATGGAGCTGTCACTCGGCAGGAAAGCCCAGACTGTATTTTCCTCATCAAGTCACTGATTTGCCAACAAATAAAAGTATTCCCTCTAGAAACAGCGCGTGCCGGAGATGCTAACAAACAAAATACGACACCACCAAGCCCCTAAAGCCTAAAAGGCAATGAAAACAATCCAGAATAATGGCAGGAAAATATTAAGTGATCCTGTAATTGAAGGCTGGGACCTGAAACACACACCAGAGGGAAGAGCTACGGATGCAAAGCGAAGCAGGCGCTGGTCTGCAAGGGGGACCACTACAGTTGCCTGTGCAAGAGTACGACTCCTTGGATGCTGCTCTCGGCATCATGCTGCAATTGAAACCAGGTGTCCACGGGGAATGGGTCTCCATGGCAGACTGTCCTGCCCTCTGGATGCCTGGTGCACTGTGCAGGGAAATAACTCCCTGCACAAACTTCTCTGCAACGGGGGGTGTCCAGGTGCTTATTCCACTTCGGCCCGACTTTGGAGACGGGGCTGGACGCCTCCACCCTGCTGGCCTATTTCCACACGCTTAGATTTACAAGCGCTTTCGCCGGCTGCCGCTTTTTGTGAAGGGAATCCAGGAATAGAGGCTGCGTTTGCTTCTGCTCCAAAACTGTGCTATTGAAAGGTCTTGCAGCGCTAAACTGCTCTCTTCCTATCTTTATACTTGACTGCTGAGATTATCTGCAATAACCATAGAGGCGCCTGGGCATCTGGCACCTTATAAATACAGCTATTTTTATGTCCCAGGATCCAGGAGTTACAGTGCCGTGGTATATTAGACATGCTGCTTGCGGAGGCCTCAAGCTATAAAGTTAAAAGGCACTGGCTCTATGGGCCAGCTTTCGCTTGGTTTTTATGTTGGATGTCATCTTGGAAGGGGACGAGGGTGGCCTAAGTTCATATAGCTAGTAGTGTCATCTGGATTTATAGCCAGTGCATGCTAAAAAATGATGACTGTATTTGCTGCCCTTTGCTGCTCTGCTGGCTAAAAGGACGAGCGAACTCTAGTTATACACCACAGCACATCTCCTAAACTGAAGAGCGAACTCTAGTTATACACCAAAGCCCATCTCTCATCCACTTGTATCGCCAATTAGCAATTTGCACTGATCAAAACCAAATTCCTGGGGAAAGGACATCCCTTAGGCCTTGCCCTTCTCCACAAAGTGGTTTGAACCCAAGTAAGCCAGAAAGCAAATGCGGCAAGCCAGCAACAGAAGCCCGTGTGCACGGAGAGTGCCCGCAACAAGCCACCAGGTCACGTATCTTCCCGTCCACGCTCCTCCCTGTTCGCGGGGCACAGATGATGTTCGGAAAGCAACAGGTGCAAGGCAGCAAAGAAACCATCCTCCTCTTAGTCACACCACCTATCTTACAACTACCACTAGCCAGCATTCAACCGACAACTAATGAAAAGCACCTCCAGCGTCCACTGGACTTCAAAATCCTCCTGCACAGAAAGAGATGAAAGCGGACTTGGCTACACGTGTGAATGTACCTTTGTGGCATACAGGGTTTTCTCCCCAAAAAGAGAACGGGGGGTCACCCTCCTGAGCAGCAGCACGAAAATGAACAGCCGAGCACAGTGCACCGTCAGGTTTTATAAAACGTGCTCCTGAAATCCCAAGAGCCGCATGTGCCAGGTGTGGGTCTGACTCTGATTCTGCTACTGTAAGAGCCTCAAGTAGCTTACACTGGTCTGTCTTGCCTCCGTCGCCAGTGGAGGACGGAAGTGGGGAAGTCCTGCTTTTGCTGAAAGTTGGAAACACTTTAGTAGGCAGGCGATGGGTTGCTGCTTGACGTATTTCCTGTGCGCAAAGCCTTCTATTTATAGGCATACTTAACAGACAGCAAGTGCTCATCACCATCGGGCTACAGGAGCTCAGTGTAACAATAAGACGACATTAGTGACTCCTCTCTACCAGTCTGGAGGCTATTTTCGAATGCTCCTCAGACGGACGAAAGCCCAGAGATGAGACAGGCGCAGGCCGCCGACCGGTTGCCACCACATTCTGCAAATGGCTTTATTTCACCGCGTCCGACCAACCCGAAGCTGAGAACTGGCGCCAGGCGTCAGAGAAGAGACAAAGCAAAACACCGAGGGAACTTGGCTTCTTGTGTTTCGGGCTGTTACGAGCGAGCAGATTAATGTGTCCTCAAAAACGTGGGTGCCATTGACATCTTGGCGTTTCACTCGCCGGTGTCATTTCTTACCCACCGAGGCAACACGAGGCCTTGTACGGCAATTAACTAGTGGCTCGGAAATCATTGCTCTGGGGACACGGCGCTTCCTGAAGAGACGATTCATCATCGGCCAGGCTACTCTCCTGGTGCTCAAGTGCAATTCTCCACCTTCCTGAAAGGATGTCAGCAGGTCCCCACACTTTGATAAATGAAGATAGCAGCTCTTCTTCTACCCACAGTCCCCTGCTTTATAACTCGCACTGATGACTGCATTCAGCTTGACAGATGCTGGAAGTGACGCCGGAGATTAATCAAAACTGGTGGCGGCAAAGCCTCCGAGGGCCCCCGCCTCGCCCTGCAAAAGAAGCAAGAGAGGCTCACCAGTATGTCACCGTTGTGAAAAAGCTTCTCGTCGGATCCCTAGCAGCTCCGACAGAGAAACTAGACAATCAAACACCTGCGTTTTGTTCAGCTACAACAGAAAGGCACAAGTGGCACGTTTCTGAAAGGTATCAATCCCGAGCTGAGATTTCCTACGGTAACGAGCCAGCCAGAGAAGCAGCGTCGCTTTGTGCAGAATACGCAGGACCGTATCTGCAAAATGTATCTGTCGTCTTCCTCCGGCGGGAGAACAGGGCTGCTGCGGGGTGACGAATGCCGTTCCAAGCCAGAGGGGAAAGCATCTAGATTGCCTGATAGCAGTATCTTGGTATGCCCTCTTTCAGTGACAAAAGTGCTAAGACAAAGAATATTAGATACGTAACGGTGCTGCTTTGCCCAAATCAGTCAGGGTACACATTATTCACAGTTTAGGATCCACGTGACATGCGCTGTGCTGATGAAGCAGGAGAGAGCTCAAACAAACAGCTGTGTGTACAGCATGCCAATGCACGAGCAAGTCCTTAATCTCTCTGGGGCTGCACACGCATCCAGAGAAGGAAGGGGGCTCCCTCCCACGCCGGCTTGGTATTTGCCTGGGAAAGCATTCACACAAGCTAAGGTGTGGAGTACGTCCATGCACAGGAGGATGAATCTGGGCGGCAAGGTGAGCACAGATGGTGTCCATCTTCAATCCGAGCCTGTCCTGAACCAGCGACCAGCTCTGAGATAAGGGGCTCTTGTTCATCCCGAAGGGGAGTCAAACCAAGCTCCTGGCTCCCTGCAATTATGAACATCCCCCAGGTAATTTCTGGGGGAGCGCACCGGGTAGGACTGGTGGTCTGGCCAATGTCCAAGGAGGCCCACAATTTTAGTAGAAGATGCTTTTAAAACGCAAGTGAAAAACAAAATGCGCTTACAACACCAACTCTTTCACTAAAGAAAGACTCTCTCTCTCTCGGTTTCCCCTGCAGTTTCTGCTGCATGCATTAGTCTTCATTTTCTCTCCTAAATTTATTTTTGACTGTGATTTCCAGAGATGTTTCCCCCCTGCTTCCAGTGCTGAGAAGAGCACGCGGCTGTGTGCGTACGCCATGACTCGGAGAAACACAGATGTATCGGATCATTTCTCTCCTCGCTTTAGCATACCAGACGAGTTGCGTAAATGCTAGAAACAGGTAGGCGCGAGAGTGCTAGCAGCTGATGGTATGACAAGCCTCAGGAGACCTGAGATGGTTTCGTGTGTCCATCCCACGCTGCGCACCGGCTCCATCCCCTCTCTCTCTCTCTCTCCCCTAACCAGGCAGCCCAGGGGATTTCCTCAGGTCTCAGGGCTGGAAGGACAAGGGGAGGCATTTTAACGGTTTGAAAACTTCAATTCCTTGCCCTCAAATGGTCAGGGATTGGTAACCTGAGCGAGCACCACTCGGCACACTTGTTCTGTGCTGCAGGTTTGTATCACCGAGGTGCATAGACTGAGTCATCGCACAACAGACCGGGAGAAGCACCTGCCTGCATACAAATGAAGCACCGTTACTGGGCTGAGGAAGCCTGGCATGCCTGGATTTCCTGCTTCAGCACGTGGGCAGCCATCTGAGAACAGTTGGTGTTTGAGGTCTGCCGTCACGTGGACTTCTCAGGCCTGGTTTTCAAAGCCGCCAAGCATCCGCAGCTCTGACTGGAGTCAGCAGGAGTGGCAGACCCTCCGAAACCCTAAAAATCAGCTCCATTACAAATATCCTCTCAATGTTTGCGGTAGGAAGATGTTTCCATGTGCTGTTTTCCCCCTCTGCTGGCACGCTCTGTCCAGGCCGCGGGTAGCTTTCATCCATTCCTTTTTGTGTTCCCTATGGAGCGGAGAGCCTAATGAGCACCCACGCCGATCCTATCTGCACGTTTGCTTGTGGTGCGAGGCCGAGTTTGTGCCTGTTGAGTGCTCGGCGTCCTCTCCCGAGTCGTTGAAAACTCAGATCACCGGCTGGGCTTTTGTAGGGTGAACGTGCATGCTTCCCCCCACCCTAGAAAAGCAAGGAAGCATCGTGAGCTGAGACACCACCATAAAGGGGATGCTCTCCTCTGATAAATGATCCTCAAGCTAAGGATCATAACTGCTGAGCCCCAGCCTGCAGCTGGCGTGCTTTCAGGGACCCTGGAAGGACTTTGCAGTGGCTTTCGCCGTGGTGCACAACCTGGGTGTGCTTTCTCAGTGCTTCAGAGGTAAACTAGACAATTCCCCCGTTGCCCAGGTATCATTTCTAAGGTCCCTGGAATACCAGGAGGGGCTGCATTTCTCAACTGCAGCAACTACCTGACAGCTAGAGATGAATATTAATTGTTCTAAGCTAGTGGTTAGCTTCTGAAGAGATTACATTATCATAATATTACATGCCCATTCCCTTTTTCCTTTTATTTCGCTCATAAATAAACTCCGACTATGACTCATCCGTAGAAGAGTTATGGGGAGAAAGCTGCAGGACTGTGGGGTGGGTGCCAGCCTTGGAGGGCATTGAGCGGTGCCGTCTGGAGTAGGGAGCAGAATATCAAATCCCGGGACCAGCTGTGCCATCATCAGTCATTAGAGTCAGGGCTAGTGGATTGAGCCCTGGGCCTTCTCTGTGGCTGCCTGAATCTTTCTTGACGATGTAGCGGGCCTGCAGGGAGCCTCTTTGCAGGCTGTGGGAGAAACCTTTGTATTTATGGCCGGGACATAAGGGCAACTCACTCACCCTTGTCCCTACCCTCCACCAGCACACAGTCAGCCGATCTATCATTTTTTTGGAGAGCTTGCACTGTAATCTTAGTATTTGCCAATGCAGTGTGAGCAGCACTTGGGATGCTATTCTGCCCCAAGCCGCGATCATACCCCGAGTACTCTTAGCAGCTGCCTCCCAGTAGTCTTGACAGCAGAGTCTCGAAAGCATTTGACAACTCCCGTGTTACGAGGGGCATGAACAGGCTGGTCCAAATTCCAGCGGAGAGATCCCCGTTCTGCGGGAAGACCAAACAGGCGGTGGCCCGAGGGCGTTTTCTGAAACGGGGGGAAGGGAAGGCAGGCTGCTGATTAACACGTTCCTGTTCCTTAGATTCATCAGATCAAAGGCCTCGAAGACATGAGGAACGCTTAAGTTGTTCCTTGCCTGCAATTATTTCAGCTGAAGAGCCCGCGCCACATGGCAATGTAAGTGGGCTGCCCTGCTGGCTCCCCAGCCTCAACTGACTCGACGCAGCTGATTTGCAAAAGTCAGCTCAACCCGTAAAGTGCAATCAGCGCTCGTACACGGTGCTGTCTTGATCTCACCTTTTTTGCCTGCCAGGGCTACTAATGCCCCTGGCAGGGAGGCGCTTGCCCCTGGGTCTGTGTCCCTGTTCTGCAGAGGCGCCTTCTGGGGCCGAAATGAAACGGCAGCCTCCGCTGCGTTCGGTCCTTAGCCGCTCGATGCCTACCTATTAATTTACTCACTGCATATGGGCATGTAGTAGTCATACGGCTCATTAGGAGCTGAAGAAAAAGCATCACTCGGATGGCTGGTGCGCAAGGACCACTCTGTCTCGTGCTGACTAGCACTACCACACTGCTGCCTGGCATTTCCTGACTATTTGTCTGTACTGTCCTCCGGTCTCTTTCTTATTGTAAGGGCTCGGGCACAGACTGACTTTTTTCCCCAGGGGTTTCACAGTCCTGGTCCGCAGCCGGGGATACCAGTCACTAGCGCCACATAAATAGTCAATACCAATACATCTCTCTCATGAGTCAGCCAACCGAGGACTGCGATGTAAAACGGGTCACATCCGATCAGGTCCAGTAGGTCTCCATCCTGGCGGGGACGTGCCCATTTCCAACCATTGCCGTCCATCCGAGTTGGATTTTTAAACCGTAATCTGAATGCTAGGTAACCAAAGTCATAAGCAAAGTGCCAGCTGGTCACTTAGTGCCCGTTGCACCTGTAATGAATCATGGATGACCTGTCACCGTTCCCTTCAGGACAATGATTTCCGTGAGTTAAAACAACGAGTAAGCCCGGGTCTAAAGCAAGTCCCAGCTATTCCCACAGGTGAAAGAGGGGATGGTTCTTAAGGGCAACACTAGCCAAAGACAAGTGGTATTTTATACATTGCCTTCTACAGCCTGGAAAAAAAAAAATCTATTTAATTATACCTAGGATTTACGCACAGCTCATTAGACAGGGGATAAAATGCACAGCTAAATTTAAATCCCTTTCTAAAGGAACTGCCACTGTAGTCATCGTGAAATACGCAGCCCCTATCTGTGGGATTGCAGCACTGCTCACAGGCCCATCGAGCACCACAGATGCTTTGTTCACGTATGCTCCGTCCCGACCGAATCTCGGCGGAAGTTTGGTTTCAACGCGTTTCAGAGATTTGCAAGGATTTTATGGTTAGGCAAACAACGAGATGACTAAATTATCCGATTCCCACGTTTGCCTTTTTAAATGGGAAAGTTAATGGGCTTGCATGATTGAAATCCCTGCAGAGAGTGGCATGAATGCAGGCTAGGCAAGATGCAGGAGGCCATCGATCCAAAACCTTCTTAAGGGCAGGACTTCCCTCCCAGGTAAAAACAAATGATATTCTGCTCCAGCAGGAACAGGCAGGGGTGACTAAGGGCATCAGCCGAGTTGTCACAGAACTTCTGATCATTAAAATGAGCTGTGGTTACACATACCCAGCAGAGACACTGCCTCCCAACATGCAAAATATGTGCAGGAATCTGGATGCTGAGATAACGCGCTAATGGAAGAGTCAACACTGACTGATGCACTGCTAATCTGTGTGGACCATAGAGACAATAATGAGCACCCGCAATTTTTTTTTTAAAAAGGTTATTATGACAGCAAGAGAAATGAAAACCCACTCGTGTGGATCTTCGCTACCCATTGACTTTCTGAACAGAGGCAGTCAAGCCACAGCACTGACCAGTCCTGCTTCTGTGCAGAAGAGCTATTGATCCAAATGGGCCGTGTCCTGCTTTACAACAGTGCCTCGGCAGCAGCGACTCTAGACCTACCTGTGGCCTTTAATGCTGGTTGTTCGCCTAGTAACAGTTTTAACCTTTTGGCATGGATTTTCCCTTGGTAATGAGATTCAGCCACCACTGCAGAGGTGAAGGACATGTTACAGAGTGTGCAGCACTTGTTCTTATCCACCAAGTCGCTGTCACTGCCCTGGATGGAGACAAAAGAGAGACGGGTGTCGTCGGAAATCAGACAGACCCACGCAGCGACTCAAGAGACAGAAATCAGGCTTGGCAGCAATCTTTGCTAGGGCAAACCCCCCAGACAGGCTCACACGGGAACCACTGGCTATGTTCTGGTAGAAGATACGTGACCCAGCTCCGCACCTGCTCCTCTGGCTCCTCCGGGAGGGCGAGGGGCCAGGATCATGGCAGAAGCCCCCCTGTAAGCCCCCCAGGGAGGTAGGAAGCGGACAGCACAGGCACGCCTGCTTTTTTCCTTTCTACGGCATCTTAGCTTCCTGCTTTTAATGACGTTTCTAGTGTCACAACTGCGTGGAAAACCATGAGAATGTGATCCGAGCGTGACCGATGCAGCCTTTCTTGTGTCGTGTTTGGGGCCAGGAGAGCAGCTGACTTTGGCACTGCTTATTTTAGGCTGAATTTGCAAAGACTTGCGTGGCTAATAAAATGAGCCAGGAAACCAGTGCACGGCCCGTAAGGGGCTCTGCTTTTCTCTCATCTCAAGACATTTTAGTGTGCCCTCCTATCCCACAACACCACGCTTGCTCTGAATTGAGAGCTGTTCTGAATTGCAAATTGGCCCAGCCATCTAAACAGGGGCAAACTCCAAAGTTACTTTAAATGTCAGCATTGTTAAGTAGTTCACAGCTGGACTAAGCAAAGCACGGGAGAATGGAAAGGAAGGATTGTGTTGTAGAGAGTACACCTCCCAGGGCTTGAGAGGTGCCCAGACCTTTTCTGAATAACAGCGGCAGCAATGTGACACGATGGAGAGCAACACTTTACATTCAGATAGTAATTTGGCCTGGGATTTTGAAGCTCCCTTTTCGGTCTAGCATTTGCCGGGAGAATTCCTACAAGGAGTGGCTGGCCACCCTCAGCATTTCATCTGCTGGCACTCGCTACTGAACAAGACTCTTTGCTTGCAGCAATGATCTACTACCAGCTGCTAACAAGATAAACCTGAAGGCAAGAGCAACCTAATGGCACCTACTAAAGATAGGAACAAATGCCTGCTGCAAAACCTGTGCAGCAGAGAAAAGCAGCCAGGAAACACCGGTACTGCTTGCTGCTTCCCGCGGGTGGGAACTTGGGGTTTGGACATTGCCAGGGGGTTACCATGATCTGAAAAAGGACAACCACGAAAGAGCCAGGCTGTTTGCGGGTGGCAGGGAAGAACACGCCTTGCAAATTGAGGATGCCAGCGAGTCTTCCTCTAATACCGTGGCTCTCAGCGCGACTGGGGTCTGTGCAATGAAATGGTCTAGCCCCAAGAAAGAAAGTCTCATGAGAGCTCTGGCTCTGGCAACACCCGAGCAAGTCCCAGCATTTCTGAACGCCACAAAATCGGCTGCGCTCAACACCCCCACACCTGCAGACAACCAAACAGAGCAGCGCTGTTGGCGGATCATCTCGCAGAACCGTTAACCTCTACTTTTGTTTCTATGGGTACACCCTGATGGTATGCCAGCTTTGGCTGGCCCTGAAAACAGTCTGTGGAAATCACAGTGCTTCACACAGAAAGCAGGCTGGGACTTCATACAGGTGAACGGGCCCAGGCAGCGCAGTGAATTAGGAGTGCTCCTCAAGCGTGGGAAGCCTGACTGACACGAAGGGGATGATCTCTAAAGGCATCCTACATGGATGAGCTTAGCTAACATCCCACGGTTGCTCCAGTCCCCCTGCCTCTGGAGCGGGGTATCCTGGTGATGTACATGTGCTCTGTGCATCTCCCACCAGCTTGCACAGGCTAGGAGCCCTTATGCTGCTACACAAAGGCAAATACTCCAAGGGATCCTGCTAACGCTGTATATAACCTGTTCTGAACTGGCTCGCTCACTCTCTCAACACACAAGTGCAAGCTGAGTTTCCATGACCAGCACCGCGGCAATTTAGCTTTTGCTGAAATGAGCCTGTTAAAGAAGATGCGTCTGGCTACAACCTAAGCAACTTCTTCTCTCCAATGCTGTCTTTTTCTGTGTTCCCTTTAAAATACATAACGAAGCAAAGATATCCAGCCTGCCAATGAAATGCCTACCCATGCAGAGCCCCTACTGCTGCAAGCCTATAACCTTCTGGAGGAGAAATGCACCAGGAAGGCCTAATTGTCATGGAGTGAATAATTATGAAACCACATCTAGAAGATTTGTGACAATATAAATGCTATTGTAAATACAAGCTGCTGAAACTCCTTGGGAACTGGGAGACAACCTAATTCAACAATATGGTTGTGTGCATTCATTAGGCAGCTTAGAGCTCCTCTCTGCCTGTATCACTCACAGCCCAAGCGATTCTCCCAGCTCAGCAGTCAGCCCCTCGCGCCTGCAGCTAATGCCCCTAACGTTTCTGGTGCAGGTGCCCTACAACAGACACAAAATAAGAGGCAACAATGGGATGAGTGGTTAGTCATACCCACAAGGTGAACTGGCACCAGGAGGAGGAGGGAGGGAGTGCATTTAAACCAATGCCAGTCGGGCCAGACTTTCCCACCCAAACACTTAGCATATAGAATTGGCTCCTTAGTGAGATGCAGCCGAGATTGCATCTTCAAGGCCTCGAATGACTCGAGTGGAGTTAGAGGGTGAAGGCCTGTCCCTTATACTGCAGGCAGGCTGACCCTGAAAGAGAAATGCCTCCAATGGGAGGATCTTGGCTACACCGCTTCTGGTGAGGGGGAGCACTCTTGGGCTTTACCCCTGGCTTGCTCCTTTGCCCTTTTGGCTCGGGGCAAGCGAGACTTGAGGGCACCTTTACTCCAAGGCCTCTGGGCTTGGGGCCTGCACGTAGGATGCCTGCCAGGGATTTGGGAGCACCTGCAGCCCCAGACTGAAATCTGGGAGGAAGGAGACTTGCTGGGGGTAGCGCCACACCGACGGCAGCGGTTGAGATCCGATCAGTCAACATCTGAAACTTACTTCCGACCTGACTGGCCCTGGAAACAACATTTTATGAAAATATATCTTACAGCTGCCAAAAAGAAACCAGGATTTCTGTGGGGAAACGTAACAACGACCATCAATTGGGTAGGCAAGACGGACCTATGCTCTCAGTCTTCTGCGTCACACCAGCAGAGAGCGGGTGTTGAACCAGAGAGCAAAGAGGGCATGACCAGCGTTTTTCCCTTGTTCCTCGCCCACTTGCAGCCTCCAGCATTTAGGGGCTAGGAATTTCTGATGCGGAGCCGTGTCCCCCCACCCCCATGCTCAATGGCTACTGGCACACCTTTCTTTCAAGAACCTGTCCGATCCCTTTTTGAAGCTGGTTCAACTCTCAGCTGCCACAGCATTTGGTGGCAAGGAGTGCCACATTTGTTTAGTGACATGCTGTGTGGTGGGGAGGGAAAAAAGCACTTCCTTTTGTTAGTTTTAAGCTTACTACCTTCTAGCTCTATTTTATGAGCCTAGCTCTTGTATTGTCAGATGGTAAATAATAAATCCCTGTTTACTCTCTCCATCATAGAGCGGTTTCTCTTATTAGACCAACTGCATGGATAGCCAGGCCACTAAATCTCTGTATTTGGCATAAGGATACTCAATTAATCATGTAGTTGCTCCAATAAGATACCACCCACAAAAACCCTTGCCTCTCTCATAAATCCTGGAGCCTTGACGGCTCCATCACTCCAACACTATTACCCATACCCCTTCTGGCCATGCTTATAGAAAGGCCTTCCTCACGGGGAAGTAATCCCTTCCTCAGTATACAATAAGAGGAAGCATTGTTTAAGCCTGCATTTTCTTCCACCCAGCCTGTGCTCCTGGAAGGATGCACAGCTGCTCAGCATCTGGGAGGTAACAAAGCTAGGTGCTTGGCTCAGAGACTGTGCACATAGGTATTCCTCCCCAGATAAGGCTGCCAGTTCTGTTGCATCTCGGGCACTCTGGGCTTGTGACCTTTGTTCTCCACTATGGGAAATGTCACTTTTATCCCTGCAATGATACAGAGGCTGAATGCAAACAGGTATTTTGACAAAAACGAATGGCTGCTAGCTAGGCTGCTGTGTTGGAAACGAGACCAGAACAGTTCAAAGACAGGGAGGCACAGATAAACAAGGCTGCTAGGCAATAAAACCCCTCTAGGCTAGGGACAGACATTACACACAAACCAGCTGACGTGATCAGAAACTGGTTTAAACCTGTAACAGAATAGATGTTCGGGGCACATCAGACAGTTTGAAAATGGCAGAAACTGGTTTGAGATAAACCTGGTTGAATGTAGTATCAGACTTAACTGATTTGGCTCCAACTGGTTTATGCAACGTCTGTCCCAGACCCCTTGCTGGTCTAAGATAAACCAGACTCCCCTAGCATCCCAGCATGCTCTCTGCTCCACAGCAGGGCTGGCCCCTCCCTTCTGCTCCCTGACTGCAGCTCGGCCGAGACTTGCCGAGAGAGTCTGCCTGGCTTCTCCCTGCTAAGCAGGGTTCAGTCCCCCCTCCCCTCTGCCTTACGCAGACACATGGCATTAGCTAACAGACCACACGCTGGCTATGGTCCCTACTGTGGGAGACTACAAAGGCGGATGGGCTTTTTGGAGCTAATCAACAGGTAGCTGGTAATGTCCTTCCCTGGAAAAGCTGTTTAAAAAGAGCTTGGAGAGAGGCTTTGTTTTCTCGGTGGCTTGATAAACCCTGAGTTAGGGGTGATAAACATTCCCTGCTGGGAGGGGCGGGGGGGAGTAGAATAATCAGAGCATCCTGCTGGGCCTGGCCACACCCCCCCCCCGCTCAGCTCAGCACTGGGAATCAAAGGGAGGGCTGCTCCAGCACCTCCCAGCTTCTAGCCTGACCCACGACAAGTATGTGCCTGCATTTCTGGAATGAAAAGGGAATGTCTCTCCACCTCCAAACCCAGTTCAAGCGTTGCAGATTAGACTAGCCTGCAAAGATTGAATCAATTCAGGCTCAGACTTCCTGAATGTCCATCCCTAGCCCTAAACAAGATGCTAGATCCACCTATCAGCATTCTC